CAATTATGCGCTGGTATAATTAAGTTGTGCCACTAGTCGAAGGAAAAATCCCAGCCATGAGACGAAAAGTAATCGAGGCACGTACGTACGTATCGAGCCGGATCCGGTCCGTGAATTAGCGGAGACGACCGAGCCGATTCGATGGATCAAGGTTCATTTCCCGACTTTCTTCTTCTTCTTTGAACTCCAGGTTTCGTGACTTCGTCTCTCATTTATGATCAAGTAGTTCCGGCTTGACAAATAGTGCCGGATCGTATCCGCCTTTTCGCGGTTTGAGCATGATTACTTGATTAGTAGTACTAGCACATACAACATCCGTGCAGATCACCACTGGGGACGACGTCAGTAATTGCAACTAACCAAACCAAAGAGACTCCGGGCTGATAATCCCTGTACTACCAACCAGCCTATCCAGACATAATAATCCACGAACGGTTTTCACCTTTTGAAACTGGCGGCACCCGGCTTTGCTTCTGCAACATAGAGCCCAAAAATTCGCCCCCTTTGGCCTTTACCGATCGACGCATTTCTACTCAATTTCGCGTCGGTGACAACAACATCTAGAATGACGGTGTCGCGTTGGGGGTGGGGTGGTACGTAAGCAGCATAGTTAGACCATCGCACCAGCTAACACAGTGAGAAGTTACCCCGACATTTCACATTACCGGTGAAGAAACGTGGTCGTATGAATATGGTACAAACACTGCATTCACCACGTGGCCAGATTGGCCAGTGTTGTTAACCACGTGGTAGCAGCAACTGATGTTCATACCGCACCTATCTCAGGAAGAATCTTACAGAATTCAGACCGGAAATCCTGCACTGAATATTAGTATTACCTTCGTCCGTTTCGATCGCCACCCTCTGTTGGCAACCAACCAAAGAGAGCCGGACACAACACACTCGGTACATGCGTGACACTTTCTTTACTGTTAATTTTTGAAAAACACTGTGTGGACATTTCAACATGCCAGTTGGTGATATTTCGGCAAAGATGATCGCATATGGTTCACCAAGTCGACGGGGAGGAATTAGGAAAGGAGGCACACGACGTCACCGCGCCATTGAGGACGCCGATAGATATGCTAAACAAGGGACTAATTGAGCTCGCGGGGACTGATTGATGGGGAAGATGGACTTGGCCATATGTAAGTGGACTTTTGAGCTGTTGAGGGCATCTCCAACGCCGACCCGCAAACTTTTCGCAACCGTCTGAAATACGCGGTCCGAACCGATTCCAAGCCCGCTTCTGACCGCTCCGACATTGAAGCGGTGCGGCCCTCTCCGCACCACTCCCCACCAAGGATGTCGCCCCCTCAAAGCTCTCTCGGACAGGATGACGTCGGAGCAGAAGAAGGCCATGGCTACCATTGCTGCAGACTGGCAGGCCGGCAGGCAGCCGAAGGACGTTCAAATGGAGGACGCCTCCGACGAAGAGTCAACGCCACCCTCCTTCTCCGCTCCACTCTCGCCGGTGCATTGCACCATGACCATCGGCGAGGACCGTGCCCATTATATGGACATGGCGCGAAAGGAGCGAGAGGAGCAGTTCCGGAGGTGCAGGCTGACGCCAACTAGAACCACAACCTCCTCCAGGAGCATCTGCAGATGAAGGGGTGGGACGCGGACCCGGTGGAGCAAGAGGCGTTGCTCGAGTCCTACCGCTCCGCCCCCAAGATCCGCCTCGCCTGCTGGTTGTACCGACAACAGGTGGAGAAGGTGGCGGCCGCCGGCAAGGAGCGCGACGACAAGTCAAGTGAGGCGTTGTTCAGCGACACCGACGAGGAGGAGGTCGTGCCCTGGCGCCACGAGCACGAAGAAGTCGGTACATCCACGGGCGCTGCCAGGAGCGAGAAAGAGTAGTGCACGGTAGGTCGCCGCCGCTCGTGTCCCAGGAAGGCCACTGCTCCTCCCCTTCCGTGGACGCCAAGCTTGGTGGGCTGAGCATCTTGGCTGATTAATCGCTTGGCGGCGACGTCGCGGAGGACAACTTCAGTTCCCGGGGCTCCAAAGGCGGAGCTAGAAAGCTCTGAGGCGGAACTGCAGATGGTGAAGTTTTAGTTCTCGGGGCTGATGGCCGGATACGGGGACCGGACACCGGCGAACATTTAGATTAGGTATTAATTATACTTCAGAGACCGCCTATGACCGTTTTGATGTATTTGTAATAAAATCAGTAATGTTTATATGAAATTCAGTATGTTTATTAAAATCCAGCCATGTTTATATAAAATTTCGAACTTGTTTGAACGAATTTCGTCGGGTTGATTTGAGTTGTTGTGAAAATGTATGCTTTACGGTTGGATTGTTGTTTTCCACATCCGTGTCTGCGGACAGATGTGAAAGGCTCTTTTTACGGGTTATCATTGAAGATGTCCTAGCTAAGACAGAGAGGGGTCGATACACTCACATGCACTTCATGGAAGGCGAGGCGAGGCGACGAGGGGAGGAGAAGTGCATGGGTGAGAGCCAGCCAGCGTACGTGTGGGCGTACACGGATGCGCGTACGCGCGAGCGTGAAATCGAGAGAAAGCAGCTGGCCCTGCAAGTACGCGCTCTCCTCGGCTCGACACGCCCTTTATCACATCGTCCTTTGCTGCTTTGCGTGGAGGCGGGCTATGGACCGCACTCACTGTCTACTCGCCTAGATGGTGGTGGATTGATACTGACGCTGTCCCTTTTTTTTTTTTGGGCCGAAGATGTTGTGCGGACGATGCAGTACGCCCTTTTCATGCATCTTGTTAGGACAACTCTAACGCGGTTTATCAAAATGGACCTCACTAAATGTCCGTTGTTCGTGGACAACGATACAGGTGGAGACCGTCCAACCAGAGGCACCAAAAGCCCGTCCCATTTCGAACGGTACTTAAAAAATAGATGAAATTCATGCTAATCGGACGGTATTTGTTAAGTTTTGATGCACACCAATCAAAATGGAATGAAAAATTTAAATTCATCATACTTCATAATTATAGAGCTCTCCCATACACTTGAAGTGTTCAATTTTGAATCTGATTTTCGATTTTGGCCGGTTAGCGGTTTCTTAAGGAGTTCTTCATTTTGGCTGGGTCAATGATTTCTTAAGGAATTCTCTATTCTAATCGGTTTTAAGGTGTTCTCTCATTTGATTGAGGTGTCCTACTCTGGATTTGGTTTATAATTTTGATAGGGTCAACGATTTCTGAAATTAATCAGCAGCAACTAGTCTATAAAAATATGTCAATCCCACACACCCTCCCAGCACCTGGCAGAGAAGAAGCGCCAACATGCGACACTGTAAAACCAGTATAGTACAAGCGTCCACTAGTGCAAAACACCCTTCCCACGCGTGTGGGTTGATTAGCAGAAAATACAAGATCACATATACATGAAGAGCTCATCAAAACAGCGCACTATATAAAAAAGAAATAGTCCATCATCACCCCCACAGACCAAACCAAATAACAAAAGTCCAACAACACCAATGGCGTAGCAAAGCACAACAAATCTTTCTAGTTTTATCTAAACCCAAACTAAACTAAGCAAGGGACAAGATGGTGGCCTTGTAGGCATGGCCTCCGAGGCGACCGACAGACCATCATCATCAGCGTCTTCACCATCGTCCTTCAATGGGACGGAAGGCCCACCAAGCATCAGATTTTTAGGCATCGCAAATTAAGCATTTTTCATGACAAATTATGTTTTTCGAGCGTGGCAAATTTAGTTGGCAAGCATGGCAAATCCGTCTAAGTTTATTGTTTTTTTAGAAAATTGTCATGCTCGCCAACTAAATTTGCCATCCTTACGTCAATATAAACTGCCATGACAAACATTTTATTTCCCATGTGTATTAATCTTATGTCCGATTTTTAGCATTTCCAAAAATATATTCTTGTGTGTGTAAGAATACTAATTTGGTATTGTAATTGTTGATAGTTTATCATATAAAAATCGGTCAAACTTTGCATCATTTGATTTCGGACAAAACTCACTTCCCTTTTCCAAGCACGGAGGCAACACCAAGCAAAACGGTTATGTGTTTTTCCTCCTAGAAGTGTTATCCCTTATTATTGTGTGGTAACCATAGCTCCACATTGCTATGAACGCACCATGGAAGCTTTCATTAACAGAATGATGTAGTAAAAGCCACGTGGTATGAACGCACAACTCCTCCCAGCCTCCAAAGTTGAAAATAGTGCACACAATTTTTTCCTATGTTGCAAGTAGACAACCATCTTGTCTTTCCTTTCACAAATATATGCTATTCAAATCCTAGATGTTGCAAATATTTCCTTGCAAGATTGCGATCTAAGCACTGCAATATGACTAGAGAGCAAGAAGTATTACTCTATGAAAGGAAAATACCAGCTCAAATTTCCTTCAGTTTGGAAACATCACCCCCACTGAAGGAGTACCTAATTCCAGGCAGCCAAACAAAACGACCGTTCAGAAAAGAAACGGAAAACCTTGTGCGCCTGTGCTCGGATCCGGACGAGACTTGACTGCTCCCTCCCCGTGCTCCCATCTGTGCTCCCGAATACGTGGCTTGATTTGATTGAAAAAAAATAAGGTCCGGCCCCACCCCCTGAAAATCAGGGGGAAGATGATTAAATTAGAAAAAAAAAAGAGAAAATAACAGCCATAGGATGAAGTGGGAGCACGAATAAAAACATGGGATCCTACCTTCCCTGTCCGTGAACGCCGCGCCATGCCCTACCTCGGAACGGCAACCCTGGGCGGAGGGCCCGTGCGCCGCGTCCACAGCCACACCCACGCCCAGCTAATCTGGTGCTGGTCCATAGCCCATGCTCCACCCATGTTACCTACTCGTCCGCTCGCAACAGCCATACGGCAGCAGCAATAACTCCATCGGCCCCAGCCGCTCGCCGCCTATTAATACCCCGGGTGCGCAGCTTCATGGCCGCAAAACCAACAGCTGCTACTCCAGCATCCACCCATCCATCTCTCATCTTCTTCTTCTTGCGACCAAACGAGCGTCTAGCTAGCTAAAGATTCGAACGATGGCCGTTCTTGTGGCGAGGCAGGGGCGCGAGCTGCAGCGGTACAGCACGAGCACCGGCGGGCGCATCGTGGTGGGGTGCATCCCGTACCGGATGCGCGACGGCGGCGACAGCGACGGCGAGGGCGAGCTGGAGGTGCTGGTCATCAGCTCGCAGAAGGGGCACGGCATGATGTTTCCCAAGGGCGGGTGGGAGCTGGACGAGTCCATGGACGACGCGGCACGGCGCGAGGCCCTCGAGGAGGCCGGCGTCCGCGGGGAGATGGGCAAGGTGCTCGGCTGCTGGCACTACCAGAGCCGCCGCTACCAGACCACCTACGAGGGCATCATGTACCCGCTCCGCGTCACCGACGAGCTCCAGCAGTGGCCCGAGATGGCGTCCCGCAAGCGCACCTGGGTGAGTACAGCTTCTTGCTTCTTCAATCTAGCTGCTGCGAAGTCAAATTAGGAGCCAAGAACATGCCTTCTAAACGTGTGCTTTCCGATTTGTTTGAACAGGCAACTGTGCAGCAGGTCATGGAGGGATGCCAGCACTGCTGGATGCGGGAGGCGCTCGAGGAGCTCGTCGCCCGGCACGCCAAGCCGCAGTCCGCCCTGTGAGCAGCCAAGCGGGCTGGCGGGGTGACTGGAGCTCGAGCGCGCGCGACTCTCGCGAGAAGAGGCCGGGAGCGAGCACCAACGTCCGTCCGTCGTCCTCGTCGTCTCTCTCTCTTCTTTCCTCGGTGCAGCGGCAGGCCTGCCGGCGTGTCCGGTGTCGTACGACGACCGGACCGGAGCATATATTTGGCCGCCCTTGCCGGAGAGACGGACTGGGATCCACGATGGCACGCGCGCGTCGACGCTTTCCTGAGGCGCAGAGTCGTCGTCGCCGTCGTCGCGGCAAATAATGGGGACGAACTTAGAAATGTGTGAGGTAGAGATCGAAAGCGAACGGGGCAGGAAAACTTGTCAAAACACTGCCGAACGAACATGCTCACGATTCTTTCCTTAGGCTCTGGGAGTAAAAGATCAAATTGTAAATTAATTCTAGTGAAACCGCTTCTTGGTGGCACGATCGATCAATCAAACGAGTACTGCTACTACTACTACTATTCTACCACCACAAAGGAAAAATCTACCGCTGTATGTGTTTCATCAGAAAAAAAGTTGCGCACGCCATTAGATAAGACTTGCTCTAGGACAGCAACATCTGGAGCACACGCTATTTCTTCTCCGCGTGTTCTCGGCCGTTCTCGGCTGGCCGGAGCATCTGTCGTGTCCTGCTGCGAGGTTCCTATTCCCTTGCATTATCACCGCAACCGAGAAAGCATAGCATTGATTCTGTTCCGCTGGCGCGGCAGCTACTACCGAGTGGAGTACGTGGTGGACGGAAGGAAGCTGCTACAGCCTACAGGCAGCGAGTGTTGGAGATGCTCGCACGTCCAAGGGATCGAATCCCCACCCGTTTTAAGATACGGCTCCGCCAGCAGCATCCCTTTACGGCTGGACCGCTCTCCCTGGAGAAGCGATGATACACGTATGTGGTACGTGGAGAGGATCCATCCGGCCTGGTGTGTGCGAAAACATGACACGCCGAAATGAAGTTTTGCAATCACTGCCTATGCCTGTCACGTAGATGTAGGGTGTCGTGCCGTGCCGTTTTCTCTGGAGCCTGGGCCTGCCGTGGAGCGCAGATAAGAAGAGCTGACGTGGAAATGCGGGAGGCCATGCCCCATGTGATGTGCCTTGCCCCCATTAAAATTTCCTTTGCTTCAATCAGCACGAAACGAAATTTTGTGGGAGCGCTACGCTACACACCAGTGCACTGCCGCTGGACGGCGACGGGCGGAAGGCGACGCGCGCGCCCAGTCACGCCGTGGCCCCGCGCCGCTCGACCGTATCCGCCGATTATATTGCGGAGACCCGCTTGACTTTGGACAGTAGGATTTGTCGCCCTCGCTCCAATGGCGGGCAGTAGTAAAAATTATCATTGCGGCTGGTCGGCATCGTGACGACGGGGCAATGGATGGAACGGCGCGCTAGTAGGAGTACAATACGTACAATACTCACCCCCATTGATTGGCAGATGATGATGGTGATGGGATTGATCTGAGCGCGTGCAGTCGTGGCGGTCCACGTACGCTTGGCTGTTAGGCTGGTCATAGTGGGGAGTAACTTAGACTAGTAACATACATATGTTACTAGTCTATGTTACTATCTTCATAGTGGGTAGTGTCATAGGTGTGGTAACATAGTTGCCTTCATTTATTACTTTGTAGACTCATTATGCATTGAAAACCGCTATGTGATGGTAACATATTATGTTACTCTATCTGCCTCTCTCCTCATTAACTACTTGCCACATCATCATTTTTGCTTATGTGGCATCTATGTTACTACCTATGTTACTTCCACCATGACCAGCCTTAGGTGCCGCGGGATAAAAACAGCTGACGAGTCATCCATTGGCTTGGCCTGGCGCGCCCCATTTGATAGATAGAGTAATTGCTAAACAACTTGACGACGACAGTGAAAGAGACGAAGGAGAAAGTGGACCCGGCCCGGCCCGGCCCGCGATGGGGACAAAGGGTGGCGCCTGCCCGCCCATCGTTTCGTTTGTTTTATCGGCACTTGTGCGGCACGCCGGTGATTGTTAATCACGGCAGTATAGTGCTTTTGCTTCCGCCCGCCGTTTCGCTGCTAGCACTAGATTTTCTTTGCACCGGTTGGCTCATGACGGCACCGGCGTCTTTTGTGGCCTCCGCCTTTCTTTCACCTTGCTGTGGTAGATCGGTGGGGAACGGGACGAATCCGTTGCGTCGCCGACGCTGACGGCTCAACGCAGTGAAAGATTCTTGGTAGATCGTTGTACAGTGACCCCGAGTGAGCCTGTGGAGGATATCGATCCAAGTTTCACGTGGTACGGTGACACCGTTCGCCAAGACCGTTCGTATGCACGCTTGCTCCAGCAGCTTCCTCCTCGGCCATCGCTTGCCGTCGCTGAGGCCTGACCGAGGCTTAAGCTGCATACCGGCGAGAGACCGAGAGTGCCAGGGATTGGAATGTCTGAGCGCCGGCTGACGGAGCAGAATCGTTCAAGCTAGGGCAGCTCGACCCGATCAATATGTGGCTCGGAGCCATTCGTAGGGACTGACTGACGCAGGACGGGCCTAATCTAGTGGCAACTTGACAAATTCAACAGTACAATAAGCTTATGAGACGACGTGCTCACCGCGAGCGGGTCGGGTTATCGGCGGCGGCGGCGACAGCGGCGACCGCGCGCGGTTGGTGGGCGAGCAGGACTGCAGGAAGGAGCCCCCGGCTGGACCGAGCACGCCGGCAGTCCATTGTTGGACTGGTTTCTTCGTATTTTTAACGGATGTTGGACCGGTTTGTTGGGCGCCTCATCTAAAAAACAGTTTTGTTCGGCACCTACGCTTGAGCTTGCCTGGTCCGATTTTTTTTTTGTATAATGTGTGCGCCGGGCCGGCGAATGTAGAATATAAGGGCATCTTCAGCCGTGCCCCCAACAGGCCCCTCCAGGCCACTTTTTCGACGCCGGCGCCGAAAAAATGCCCAGTCGCGCCCCCAGGACGCCGAAAATCGTTGGTTCGGACCTTTTTTCCGCCCGGCGGTCACAGGCCGAACCCGGCGCGCTGGGGAGCCGTTGGGGGCTCCGGCGCTAGGGAAAAGCACGCTTGGTCCACACCGACAGGGGAAAAGTCAAGGTTTTCTTCCCCCGACTCGCCTCGCACCCCCCGTGCCCTCGGCCACCACTAGCTATATCCCGACGCCAGCCGCCGGCCTACTCCGCTAGATAGCCATTCCCTGCCGGAAAATAGTAGCGCTTCGCTGCGGCAGCTGGGCGTTTTCGGCCGCCGTTTCCGGCCGCGGAGGCGCGGTTTAACGGCGGGTACATGCCCACCGAGCGCAAGGTGTTCGGCGTTTTGACTGTCTCGGCGATGGACTCGGATGAGGAGGAAGAGCTCGCCGCGCTGCTGGAGGAGGAAGCCGCGGCCGACGTCCAGGAAGAAGAGTATCTGGTGGTGCTCGCCGCCCTCGCCCAGCTGCTGGCGAGCAATGAAAAGCCGCGTCGAGGTGGCTCGGCGCCGGGGCGGGTGAAAGCAAAGAACCGGCATCGTCTGCAAGGCTACTGCATGCTCTACTCCGAATACTTCGCCGATGCTCCACTTCATGGCGAGAGAACATTTCGGCGCCGTTATCGGATGAGCCGAAAGCTCTTCCTCAGGATTGTGAATTCCATCCGGGAGTTCGACAACTACTTCAAGTACAAGATGGATTGCACTGGCGCTCTTGGATTCACCTCCATCCAGAAGTGCAGACGGCGATGAGGATGCTTGCATATGGAGCTCCCAGTGATTCACTCGACGACTATGGGCGCATGGCCGAGTTCACCAGCATAGAGTGTTTCTACAAGTTCTGTCGGGCAGTGGTGGGAGTGTTTGGGCCACAATACTTGAGAACACCCAATGCGGAAGACACTGCTCGGATCTCGATTCGCTGTTGTTCGGTACCCCGCTCAGACCTGGTCGAAAGATCAAATGTGGGAGATCATGACTTGCTGTGTCATCTTGCACAACATGATCATCGAGAGCGAGCAAGAAGACCCAGTGTTTGACATTGAACCATACTACAGGCAGGGTCCTCTAGCCGAAGTTGATCACCAGCTACCGGCAACTTGGACTGCATATCTCAGTATGCGTCAGGAGATCCGAGACCCACAGGTGCATCATCAATTGCAGAAAGATTTGATTGAGCACCTATGGAGGCTCAAGGGGGACGCTGCGTGATGAAATACGAGTTTTTATTTGTTAAACTATATAATTTGTATTGAACTATTTGTTGTTGTAGTATTTTGTTGAAGTATTTGATTTTTCTGTGATGAAATATGTGATAAGGAATAATTGTGTTGATAATTGAACGCCGAGACATGGCGAAACCACACCGAATATGGGCCTATTCTCGCCCATATGGGCCGTTTATTCGCCAAAATTGGGCTGCAAAGTGGGCCAATTTCGCCACCTAGGGGGCGAGCTGGGGGCGATGACTGGGCGCAAAACCGCCCCCAGCGCCGAGTGTATCGCCGGCTCGCCCCCAGGAGGCGATTTGTATGCGTCCTGGGGGGGCCAACGGCTGGAGATGCCCTAAGCAACCCACTCGCATTCTATTTGGGCCTTCATTCGTTTGTGACAACAACGCTGGGTATTCTCATTCTTTAGATTAAGGTCAGTTAATTGCACAGAAGTACCATAATTGAGGCATATTGGTATTCTCGCAGATTGGTATCAAGATTGCTAATTTTTGCATATCAATACCAAGATTGTGCCAGGTCGTTGCAAATAAGGCTAAACTGTGTTTTATATGTATTGACGCTAGATCTAACAGCTTGGGCCCACCCGGCAGGTGCCACGATGGCCAATCGGCGCGTGCCCGCGCGCTGACTAGGACGAGCCACTCTCAAACCCCGGCCGGGTCGCACCGGTTCGTCCCCGACCCCACCATTCCCCTCCCCTCCCCTCGAACCCTAGTCCACGAGCACGTCCATGGCGTCGGCGACTCCGACAGGCGGCGGCGAGGGCGTTGACGGCGGCGGTGGCCTACCGTTCTGGCCTAGCGGCCCGGCTG